AACCATGGCTGTCTAACAAAGAACCTTCAATTATTATCCATAATGAAATAATATTTAACTGAATGGATAAGTCAATCCAGTAATGTAGTCTGTGTTTTTCTCTTCTTTTGACAGTCTTTGGAACTAAAGTAAACAACTTGTACTTGTGTCTTTTTTGAGATTTTGAGTTGTAATAATTGAAATATTTCAAAATCAGTGAGTTGCAATGCTTGTGGGTGTGGACCCCAGGAGAAACAGTTGTTTTTTTTTTTTTTACTCTGGTAAAAACTAATGAGGATTCTAAAACTAATAAATATTGCTCAAGGTATGTATTCTTTTCTTATTCAATGTCAAAATGAGATACAGTAGTTTTACACTCCAAACAAATAAAAAATACAACAACCACCAACTATAGCTTCCATTGCAGCTCAGTAGCTAAAGGTTGTCTTGCAGGAGTGCTTGCCATTATTAACATGAACATGAACTGGACTTACTCTACAGTAACTCAAAAGGGGATAGGGCACTGACTTTTTTAAATTTAAATTTAAAATACCATCTGAGTTATCAAAGACTGTGTTTGTCTTATTGCCTTGAAAATTGCACCCAATTTATAAAAACGTAGCAGTGTGACCCCTTTGTTTTGCTTTCATGCAGTAAAGAGAACAGGTCAGGAGAGAGGGTGAACAATAGTCAGACACACTCATATGTTCATGGAAATAATGAGTCACCATGAAAGTAATGTTCAGTTTTGGCAATTAGTCATAATTAGTGACTGTTTGTCTCACATCAAGTGTTGTCTGATGCACTACAATCAATTAGCTTCCTGTGGTGAGTACAACAAATCTGATTGGTTTATGTTTCTATTTAATTTATTTATTACAGGGACAGAGTATGTTAATAACATTTCTGTAAATATAGCAGGGTTAGCCAGAAGGCTATTTTTCCTTTTGCAGTCCCTAGACCGATGGTAAAAGTCACCCTAAAAGAATAAAAGATTAAACGCATATTGGTTTGTTTGCATGTGTGATTGTTTTCCTTTATATTGTGCGCATTTGTTTTAACATTTGCACTTGTATTTTTTAATATACATTAATTCAAGTTGGCGCTTGTTCATTTTGTATTAAGCTTCTTGTGTCGCAGGTTTAACTGTCATAGTACATATTAATGACACACAGAACTCTTTCAAAATGTAGTATTTACCATCATCTCTTCCACATATACTTAATAACCACATGTTTTTGTTCTTGGCTTTTACTTTTCTGCCACTGGATCTGAAAATTAAAACTGACTATGTTCTGTTCAATCAATCACAATGTATGAAAGGCTTAAACTACATACAGCAGCTTGATTGAAGTAAATACACAGCTATCACCATAAGGGCCTTGTTTTTCTGTAGTTAGTGTTAGGTTTGTCCTGGAACCTCTAGGAAATTACTGACTTATAAAATAAAGTTTTACCAATGGTCAAAAAGAAAAAAAAAATAAGTAGGTCCTCTGGATGGATTCTTCTTTAGTGAAACGTTTCATCTCTCCTCCAAGAGACTTCTTTGGTCTGATGAGTTTCAGGTGAACTCAGCTTTATAAGCACTGCCTCCACATTGTGGACAAACAGGTTAGTCACATGCAAAAGTGGGCCGTCTTAGTTGATGGCCTTCTTTATTGGCCTTCTAGATCAGGCCCTTAATCGTTATCGGCCTTCTAGATCAGACCACATTCCAACAGGTTATGGATTTTACAGAAAAGGCAGGTTTAGCTCAGCATGTCAAGTCCATGACCCGACAACAAAAATAAGTTCACTTTACTGATAACCCGACAGTCCCTTTTGTAATTCCAACAACTCACAGAAGGTGGAACAACACACAGGAGCACAAGCAAATGCCAGAGAGACAGAGAAGTGGGTGAAGAATTTATCTGACAGAGAACTCACCAAGCCAGAAACCGAAATCCTGTCCAGAGGACTGAACTTTGTGGTCGCACCAAGAAGAATTCCTCTGGTTGAGATGACCAGAGCCACAGAATCAGCCATTCACAACAACAAAATCCCAGAATTTGAAGCAGAACAACTTAGGAACAAAGTTTCAGCTTGTCTCAGCAATGCCAAACCACCACCTTCCAACATTATTAGAGACGAGAGAGACGCTCTCACCACCCTCAGCAAGGACAAAAACATCATCATCCTCCCAGCAGACAAAGGAAGGTGCACAGTGATTTTGAACCAGAAAGACTACACTGAGAAGGTTATGACACTCCTTAGTGACACGACCACATACTGAAAAGAGATCCAGGAAGTGGATACAAGAAGAAGTTGATAGAGTGCCTGAAAAAGTTAGAGCAGGACAAGCTATTAACCGGATTCTGTACCACACACTGTGCCCAGGTGAGGCCACTCCTAGTCTGTATGGTTTACCCAAAGATCACGAACAGGATAAGACTAATTGTTAGCATGATTAACTCTGTCACTTACAATGTTTCCAAATATCTAGTGTCAGGACTTGGTCCATTAGTTGGCATTTCAGATTATCACATACAGAACACCATGGACTTTGTGAACAAGGTGAGGGATGTCATCATGGAGACGGATGGTCTCCTTTGATGTCACATCACTCTTTATGTGCGTTCCTGTTGCTAAGACGGTGGATGTGGTCTGTGTAAGATTAAAATCAGACACCACTCTTAGCAGCAGAACCACTCTTTCCACAGAACAACTGTGTCAACTTCTGAATGCCTCGAATCAACCCATTTCACATACAGTATGGGGGGCAATACTATAAGCAGAAACATGGGTGTGCTATGGGCTCCCCAGTTTCCCCTATTGTTGCAAACCTGTACATGGAGGAAGTGGAAAAGAGAGCTCTGATGTCCTTTATAGGGACACCACCAAGACATAAGTTCAGGTATGTTGATGACACCTGGGTTAAAATTAAATCCCAGGAAGTCCAACATTTCACTGATCACATCAACTCTGTGGATAAATATACACTGCTCAAAAAAATAAAGGGAACACTACTGCTCAAAAAAATAAAGGGAACACTTAAACAACGCATGCTAACTCCCGATCTTAATCAATGAAATATTCGCATTGAGTACTTTGTTCTGTACAGAGTTGAATGTCCTTCACAAAAGTTTGATTTACTTGGACTTAGCGTGCGTTGTTTAAGTGTTCCCTTTATTTTTTTGAGCAGTGTATAAAGTTCACACGAGAGGATGTAAAAGATGGCAGGTTGGCGTTCCTGGAATGTGATGTCTCAGTTTCAGATGGAGGACAGTTGGAAACTGACGTGTATCGCAAACCCACCCATACAGACCAGTATTTGCGCTTTGATTCCGATCACCCACTGGAACACACGTTAGGAGTCATCAGAACTCTGTACCACAGAGCAGACAGTGTCCCCACAAACACAGGAACGAGGGAGAAAGAGAAGTCACACACAAGACAGGCCCTGGAGCAGTGCGCTGGGCTTTTCTGAAAGCAGACAAGAAACCCAAACAGGATTCCAGCCAACAACCAGCTGAAAATGGAGACCCTAAACCCAGACCCAAACCAGTCGTCATTCCATATGTGGCGGGAGTTTCAGAGAAACTGAGACGTTTAGTCTCTAAACATGACGTCCCAGTGGCTTTCAAACCCCAAAACAGATTAGTTCACCCCAAAGATCCAGTTCCCCAGCAAAAACAGAGTAATATAGTATATGCTTTAAGTGTCAGGAGTTTTGTGATCAGTTATACATTGGGGAACCAAAACAGCCACTGTTCAAAAGAATGAGCCAGCACAGACGAGCTACATCGTCAGGTCAGAACTCTGCAGTTTACACTCATCTACAGGCCAGGACTCTGCAGTTTACACTCATCTACAGGTCAGAACTCTGCAGTTTACACTCATCTACAGGCCAGCGATCACCCTTTCAGGGATGAAAACATTTTCATCCTTGATAGAGAGGAACGTTGGTTTGAGAGGAGTAAAAGAAGACATTTTTGTGAAGAAAAACTGTCCACCATTAAACAGAGGTGGAGACCTTCGTGTCCAGTTGTCCTCCTCCTACAATGCTGTTATTGCAAGTATGACTCAGCCCCCTGTGAGCAGAAGGTGTGAATCAGGACCCCAACGATAGTCAGGTGATGGGGCACATGACCCTCTATGAACAAAAGAGCTAATCAAGCCTATTGTTAGGCGATGGCCCTCTTTTGCATGTGACTAACCTGTTTGCCCACCATGTGGAGGCAGTGCTAATAAGGCTGAGTTCACCTGAAACTCATTAGACTGAAGAAGTCTCTTGGAGGAGAGATGAAACCTTTCACTAAAGAAGAATCCATCCAGAGGACCTACTTATTTTTTTCTTTTTGATTTTTTTTTTTTTGTACCTGGATTACTGAGATGCATCAGGACATTTTACCAATGCTGTCAAACTTCAATCTGTCCTGCTCAGTTTCAGTAGGCTGTGTCCTGTGTAATAACCCATCACCCATAACTCATCATGATGCAAAGTGTGGTGTGGTTTGCATTGCACAGTATTTAGAAATAATGGGCCTCATGCAAGAACATGTTCGTATTCTTATCCTAAATTTCTCTTACTTTTGTTCGTACAAAGGGTTCGTACGAACATGTCACGTC